TCACCCCCCGGCTCTGCAGTAGCCGGCTCTCAGCGTGGTAATGCGCCCTGTCGCTTCAGCCGCCTTCTGTTACCCCACCGTGCTGCCTTCTCTCCGTCTCCGCTGGTTCCCGTCGTTGTCTTCTTATGCCCCCCACATTTGTTTCCTCCTGGAAAAACAGTTCTCTTTCCAGAGAAAGTGAATGAGCTGGGCCAACATCATTTACCTTCGATAAAGTCACGTTGCCGCTTACCTAATTCATTCAGCGCCACGGCCTTGCACTCTACACGGTGGAGAGAATGCAATTTAATTTTTTCCGTCTTGTATCCTGGTATTTGCTACTGCTCTTTGTCTCTCTTGCCTCCTCTTCACCTCACAGAAGTGTTTACATCTTCTCTCAAGGACGCAGGCATTAAAACTGAGAGCTGCATAAACTCCTACTAAGCAATGAGGCTGCCGCCAACCCGCTAGTCGGAGGCTAGGCTCACGCCAAATGTCTCCAGAAAATTCTCACTGGTGCAGCTCAAGGCGTTGCAGTTCCTGCCTGTCTCTCCCACCTCCTTATCAGGCATGACTGCCCGTGAAGCAGAGTTGGTATGAGAAGCTATTTCCAGCCCTTGCAATTCACATTTCCGTGCACTACCTTCTGAAGGTGAGGCTGAGATACCTTCTCAGACTGTGAGCTGTGCCAGTTAGGTCTGGTCTCTTACTACATTCTCCCATCTCTGGTGTAAGGATGAATAAATAGCTAACGGCACCGTAAACCACTACAGCAAGCTCTGCTAGGGCTCGTTTGGCAGAACCTGCAGCTAGATAAATTGATTTGTGCAGTGGAAATGATGCCAAGAAGATCACATTTATATCACTCCAGGGACGTATAACTGGAGTCCAAGCCCTTTGCTTTTCTGACGGTTGTTTTTTTTATGTTGGTGTTTTTATTAAAAGATTAACTTTTCCTTAGAATAATCACTATTTATCAGTAACAGAGTCTTTGGTTAGTCAAAAAAACCACCCATGCTGCTTTCTGCTGGAGGAGCTATGCAGGTGACAGCTTATCAAAACATTTTCCCTGAGCAGATTAGCTGTATTTAACATCAGTAAGGGGTGCTCTTTTCAAAAAACAAACACTGATAGGTAGGAAAACAAGATTTAAAGGGCTACCTTCCTAAGTCGATAATGAAAGTAATGAAATTTAAATCAGCCTCAACTGAATCAAAAGGCAGTGGAGAAGTCTCAGGAAAATGTAGTATCTGAAGAGTGTTGATGCTCTGTGCGTATGAATGCGTATGTGCTTGTATTAAGGCATCCTGCTTTTCCTACGATCTTCCTTTTGTTAGCCAACACAATGCTAAGGATGTAGTAAAAACAGTAGCCTTTTAAGGAAAACCTGAGATAAACCTTTAAAAAGAGAATCTAATTAGTATGCTAGCAAATATGGCAAATATTCCAGTTATTTAGCAGTATAGAATAAAGGAGTTTATATTCTGTTTTTATTGCTAACAACGCGCTTTCAGTTGCATCCTGCACACACTCTGGATTTCTTAATCATCAGAACACCATTCCATTCGCACAAATAATGTAGGCCTTTGCTTTGCATAATGTAATTGTTATTGTGGATAATTTATTTTTGATCGAGTAATAGTTTGGGACTTTTCAGACCAAAGGTATTATTATTATGATGATGGAATCTATGTTAGAAAGTCTTTTCTGTTCTGAATCCTAGCCCCTAGTTTATAAGAAGCGAATCAACTATTCATGTGGGAAAGATGGACACAAACCTGAAATTCCTTACCTTATTTTCTTTTTACCCTTTTTTTTTGAGGAACTAGAATTTTTATTTTTTTTTAAATTCTGTCTTCTGAAAAGAAAGTGTTATGCACCCAAGTATTGGTCCCCAGGAACACATCAGGAGATTATCAAAACACTGTGTGCTTTCATCACTATTTCTTTCATGGCCCTTCCTTGCCATGTAATGTTAAATAGTTCTAGGTAAATAAGTAATCAAAACCATCTGTTACCATGACAATGGAAGGAACAGTGATGCTGCCGAAGTATGAAAATGAGCTGGGCAGCATCAGGACTAAGTGACCGATTACATCCTTACAGGGGCAGCAGCAGAGAGCAGGAAACGTGAAAATGAAGGAGATGGTGATTTTCGGTCATTCTACTTCCCCCAAATGATACTTTTTAAACACAAAAAGAAGTGCAAAATTGTCCTTTACAAGCTCACAGGACAGACATGGAAATATTGGCAATAAAGATTTCATATCACTGGTTAAGGTCATCATCGGGCTCATAATTCATTACGCAGTTTAGCTGTACCTAATAAGGGCGCTCCCCAAAAGTCGTGAGATTCTGCCTTAAACCAGACTATTCTAATTTGACCTTCCTTGGCATCTCACTGTTCTGTTACTGTCCCCCCAGATACACAGTTTTACATGAAGGCAGCCAAACAGAGCAATTATGCAACGCAAGATTTAAAAAGCATAGCTTGAGAACAGCACAGTAGACGTACTGGCTCTGATCAAACAATCAGTTTAACCCAACATTTTGCCTCCAGCAGTGACCAAGAGCAGGCATTTGGAAAACAGTATCACGCACAAAAACTGTCGGTCGATCCCCTGGTTTCTCTCCTGGCTCCTGGTACTTATTGGAGCAAGTAATTATTCCATCTTCTCTTTTCTCCATCACATTCATGCCTATAGCTCTCCCATCACTCATCTTATTTTCAAGCTGAAGAGCCCTAGTTTTATGTAATCTCATGTAAGGTAAATGCCTTTCCAGGTTGCTGATCCTACTTGTTCTTCTTTATAATTTTTCAAATAATTTCATGTTCTTCTCTGGGACTGAGTTAGTAGAACTGGCAGCATTATTCAGCACGTGGGTATAGCATATACCAAGTCATAATGACGTGTTCTGGTTTGTTCTCACTCCTAGTAATTCCCAACATTTTACTTGCCTTTTTGAAAAGTGCTGAGCACTTCCCACAGTGGTTTCAAAAACTATTTCCAAAGTGGTAGTAATTAATTGCCCTGTTACAAATAATTGGGGTTATTTCCCCCCAGTATATTACTTTGCATTTATTCAGTACCATCGTCTGCTTTACTGTGTGATTTGAAATCGGATTGCACATACTTTGTCACCGCTTTTCCCATGTCCCATGTCCACGACTGACTTGAACAAGCAGGTACTAAGAGCGCACTAGTAACCCCTCTCCTTCACGAAAGCTGACCATCAGCTCTACCACTTTTGTCTCCTCCTACCTTTCTGCTGTTTATTGATTCTGAATGCAGCCTGCCTTCTTACCCCATGAGAAATCAGTTTTGTAGAAGTATTTAATGTTTACAGTAAACATGTTCTAAACGTATCTGTTGTAACAGGTTACTCCAGAGACAGGTGTGTAGCAGCACAGGCCAAGCCTGAAAAACGTGGGAGAAAGTTACAAGGTCATCTGCTAGGTAATGGCCGGGTTTTATGTTTTCCAGCACATATTAACTAAATATTCTCACTTTACCAGTATGTCTTGATAAGCCATGCTGTTCTTGTTTTGTACAATACTGTTCTCTTGAATTTTTGTTGCATTATATGTGCTTGTGAACAGGCAGACATATGCACCACACGTGCTTACACACATTTTTCTGTTGAGATCCTCCCTCTAAAAACCACTAGAACTGCCACCGTGACTTGCAGATTTCACTGCTAGAAGAGATCATCTTATCTGCTTTCTTACATAGTCCAGATCTTCCTTTGTTCTTTCAACACATTTTTGACTTGTTGATTTGGTAGACACATGAGTTCCTGCTGCCCGTGCCTTGTGTCCCATCCCTTTGCTTTAACACCAGCAACTTACACCTGTGCGCAGCGCCAGAGACTCTCCCTACTGTCCCCGAAGCGGGACAGAAACTACAGTGCTGTGATTCAACCAGGAGCGTGCCTATGTGTCTTGTCTTAGCCCAGCCCCATCACGTATCTGTGCCGTCGGCCTGCCGTGAGTCACTTCTCAACATGGGTGTGTCGTATTATGCAACCCACTGTAGGGTTATGACTCAATATGAAGTTGTAAAGCCACTTCAGCCCAAGCTAAAACAGGCCTTTAAAAATATGTCTTCGCATGATTTAAAGATTTCAAGTGGTAGAGGATCTACTACATTCCTTATTCCTGTGGACTTTGTAACACCACAGAAAAAGTAAGATTTTTTTCTTAGAACAAAACAGGGTCCTTGGCTGCAGTAAGACATTAAAAAACACAGCAAGTCAATGCTGTTAGAGAAATCTGAGGGGAGTAAGCAATATTCAGAAAGTATGG